GTTCACTCAAAAACCTGCACACAAATGCTTATAGCAGCTTTATTCATAATTGCCGAATTTTGGAATCAATCAAAATGTGCTCCAATAGGTGAATAGATAAACTATGGTACATCCATACAATGAAATATTATTCAGTGATAAAAAGAAATGAGCTATCAAGCCACACAAAGACAAGGAAGAACCTTAAATGCACACTGCTAAGTGAAAGAAGCCAGTCTGAAAAGGCTACACACTGTAAGATTCCACCTATATGACATTCTTGAAAAGTCAGAAGCATACACTGTAAAAACGTCAGGGGATCCTAGGGGTTTGGGGAAAGGGAGGGAGGGCCAAATAAATGGAGCACGAGAATTTTAGGGCAATGAAACTATTCTTTTTGACACTGTAACGGTGGATGCATGTTATTTGTCAAAACCCGTAGAATGTACAACACAAAGAATGAACCCTAATGTACTATGAACTTTAGTTAATAATGTGTCCACATTGGTTCATCACTGGTAAGACATGCATCCCACTAATGTGAGATCTTAATAATAGGCGAAACTGTGGTGGGGAGAAAGTAATGTGGGAAATCTCTCCACTTTTCACTCAATTTTTCTGTAAACCTAAAACTGCTCTAAAAACAATGTATTAATTGGGGAAAAAAAAGTGCTCAATAAAAAAACTGATACACGTGCATACACATGCCTTTATGTAAATGAGTACATTCCATGAAAATGAAATTCTCAACCATAAAAAAAAGAATGAAATTCTGCCATTTGCAGCAACATGAAGGAACTTGAAGAAAATTATGTTAAGTGAAATAAGCCAGGCACAGAAAGAGAAATAGTGCATGTCCTCATAAGTGGGAGCTAAGAGAGAGAGAGAGAGAAAGAACACAATAAAAATAGTTACTAGAGATGGGAAAGGGGGAGGGTGCAGGGGGTTAGGGAGTAATTGGATAAGGGACACGAAGAATAATTACAGTTTATAATGATGAATATGCTAATAATATTATTTGACCATCACTTACTATACACAAACACTGATAGTCAACTCTGTGCCCTGTAAATATGTATAATCAAAAATAGATAAATTTTTTAAGGGGAGAAAAGTGGTATGCATGTGCACACGTGCCTTTACACATATGAGTACATTCTATCTACTGCATAAAGCTGTTCTTACTAAGTAGAGCACACCTGTTATTTTCCTAAGCTCAATTTTTCAGAGAAATATACATATATTTGATGTATAAGCAAAATGTTTTTATTTGACATTAGGAAATTTGAAGCATTTTTTTCCCCTGGCACCATTTATTGAGTGTATACTATTTGACAGATATAATTAGGTATTTTTGTATAACCTGCCTCATGTAGTTTGAAGTAGATAATTAGTTACCCCATTGCACAAGTGAGAAAATTCTGGCTTAGCTATGTGAAGTGGCAAAGCTGGTATTTGAATTAAAGCCTGACTCCAAAGCTTGTGTGCTAAACAGTCATTCACATAGGCTTATTTTTTGAAATAGCTACAGTTTATCCCCTAACATAAATGTAAGTACCTTTAGAGCCCAAATAATATTAAAGGAGATTGTCCAGATTTGAATCTTGGCTCTACTATTGGCTTACTTTGTGATTTTAATTAGGTTATATCATCTCTTTATGCTTTAGTTTCCTTGTGTGTTAAGTGGAGACAGTAGTTGAGATTGTGAGGATTAAACGGGTTAATGTATGAAAAGCTCTTAGAACAGTGCCTTGTACAAACTCTGGGTTCCATAAATGTTATCTATTAATTAGTAGTGGAATAAATTTTTCATTTTAGAGATAAAGGAAACCTGAGGAAATGAAGCAAATTTGAGTCACGTAACTTTCTAAAGTTGCATAGCTTTTATTTTTTATTTTTTTTATTTATTTTTTATTTATTTATTTATTTTTGTCTTTTTTGTCTTTTTCCGTGTCCGGCAACGGATTGCAA